AGCAGCACGAACTTTTCTCAGAGAATTCATAGATCGTGAGGGTCTACGTAATGCGCATACGTTCAGCTTAAAAGCGATGCGACAATTGAGAATGCTCCCTCGTCAGCTTCGAGTTCCTTGGCCTCGAAACCTCTATGGGCTTGTATGAAATTCGTAATTATCGTTTCTGTGATCGAGAACTACAATTTGAGTTTTTGATCAATTACAGTGCAAACAAACTGACCAGGAATTAGTGTTTCCTCTACTTATGGTCACAGCAATGAGAATTAGTTTTGTGCCAACAATAAGAGAGATAAACTTTCCTGCAATCTTATTACTCAATAGTATTTGGATTTGGATGAATTAGTGAGCTCGAACTCGACTCGAACTCGAACTTCTAAACTCGAGTTCGAGTCGAGTTCGAGTTTAGAAGTTCGAGTTCGAGTCGAGTTCGAGTTTTGAGGTTCGAGTTCGAGTCGAGTTCGAGTTTTGAGGTTCGAGTTCAAGTCGAGTTCAAGTTTACAGGATCGAGTTCGAGTCGAGTTCAATCTTACCACGTTTGACTCGAAAACTCGAAGCTGTGCTCGCGATTGGTACATGTCTAGATGTGACGATGTGACGAAGTGACGATGTAATGAAGTAACGATGTGACGAAGTGGTGATGTGACGAAGTGACGATGTGGCGATGTGACGAAGTGATGAAGTGACGATGTGACGAAGTGGCGAAGTAGCGAAGTAACGAAATGACGATGTGACGATGTCACGAGGTAACGAAGTGGCGATGTGACGAAGTAGCGAAGTAGCGAAGTAGCGAAGTAACGAAGTGACGATGTGACGAAGTGATGATGTGACGATGTGAGGAAGTGACGATGTGACGATGTGACGAAGTGAAGATGTTGCGAAGGCTAGATGTAGTCATCTGGAGATGTAACGGTGTAACAATCTGACGGAGTAACGATGTAACTAGGTGACAAGGTGTCGATGTTTTATATGTATATGTCTGGCGATGGCTATTTATTTTTTCTAACTTTTTGAATTTTATTGTTCTATCGCAAGTTATCTTGTTTATATTTATATGTATATGGATACTCCTTTGGAAGGAAATATATTTTCCCCTAACCTTTAAATTTTTTATCTATCGGAAATCATGGCGGATGAGATATAGATGTGAGGTGATGTAGGAGTTGCCTTCATTATAGGCCGCGGATAATAGGGTATCAGAGATCTCTTAAAATATATTAGCTTGCGAGAAGTTTATTAATATAGATTAAATAATAAGTAGAGAATAATACGTTAACACACAAATATTTTATGCAGTCTGTGTATTTATGTCTATCCATTGAATTCGAGATTGAATTTTTGTACTCGATGATTTCCCCAATTGACGACATAGAGATTACCGTGTCGATCAAATGACAAACCGACTGGTCCATTGAGTTGGTTCGATTGTCCTCCACTACCGTTTCTATCAACAATGACACTTCCTTGTGTAGCTCCTTTAGACCAACGCATGATTCGATTATACCCCCAATCAGCCACATAGACAGTGCCAAATTGATCGACAACGACTCCTCGAGGATATGACAATTGTGTAAGATCATTTCCTTCTCCTTGACCACCAGCCACGACAATGCCTTGTTTTGCACCTTCCATCCATTTCATCACACGATGATTTCTCCAATCAGATACGTACACTGAATGATCTCGATCGACGAATACGTATTCGGGGCGAGAGAGTTGATCGAGACGATTTCCACGTCCATTGCCACCAGCAACCACTGTTCCTTGAGATTCTCCTCTTCGATATCGTCTCACTTCATTTTTTACATCATCAGTGACATAGAGAGATCCATTCTCATCCATTGTCAAACCCACACATAAGATGTTGGAGATGATTGTTTCTCCACTTGTCCCATTCCGACGAGGCCATAGAACCACTCTTCCATTCGAATAGTCGCATATGATGAGACTATCTCTCCCTTTGTCGATAATCACATCATATGGGTCATCCAATTGATGATCTCCACTTCCTTGTCCATTTCCACCGGCAACCACTTGGCCATTCGTTGCACCTTGTTTCCATTCCACAATACGATGATTCGATGTATCAGCAACATAAATTGTTTGATCATCATCAACATACAAACCCCATGGGTACGAGAGTTGATTGATTCCATTGCCTTGTCGATTTTCTCCAGCTACAGTGAGACCATTCTGGTACCATCGAGCATTCGGATGAATATCAATTGAACTCCCACGTAATGGATGGACTGAAATCGAGAGAGAAAGGAGAAAGGGTAAAATAAGAGAGAAAAAAGTGAAAAGTTCATTTGAGTTTTTGCAAAGTCAACATCGTTCCAAATTTTCGCTTGTTTCAGATTCCTTATTTTGACACTGAAGTGTTTTCTTTTTGGTTTTCTTTATTACTTAATTTATCATAGAATAACTATTGATATATGTTTTTTTTTGTTTTTCATTTCGACTATCTTTATACAGTAAAACCTCTCTATAGTGGACACCCTTCGGACCTTTCAAAAGTGTCCACTATGAGGAGGTTAAGTGTTTTTCAAGAACAATATCTTTTTCGAAGAAGTAGGCACGATTTTAGGCATCTGAAGTACTAGTGAATAAGATAATCGGATAGAGCAAGTTATTACTTCTGTTTTCATATATTATAATTTTTGAAAATAGAAAAATTAACAATTGTCAAAATAGTCTTTGATAGAACTTTGTTTCGCCGCTTTCGAATCCAGATAAATGTTCACTTTTTCTTAATGATAGTAACAAAATGACACAAGTTTTACAATGCGATTATTTATCTACACGTCTTCTCTATTTAACACGACGGACGTTTTCTTTTTCTATAACTCAGACGTATTTTTTTTTTCATTCCACCGCCTGATCAATAAAGAAGATCATTATATTGTGTCATCGACGGTAGTCATTGCGACATTTTCTTTGAGTTCATAACTAGTGTCCACTATATAGAGGTCATTTATGCAAAAGGGACTGTGAAAAAGTGTCCACTATATGGGGGTGTCCACTATATGGAGGTGTCCACTATACGGAGGTTCAATTACAGCAAAAATCGTTTGGTCGGGTCCCAAAGTGTCCACTATAACGAGGTGTCCACTATGGGAGGTTTTACTGTATCTTATATTTGAATTAGTGCACTTCAAAAAAGATTTTAGTAGAGTTGAAGAGTAGGTCATCGTACGTAATTAATAAATCATTAATACAAATACATAAAGTTCTTGTTTTGCTTGGAAAGAGAAATAGATCACGATAATCATTCTATTACAAATAATGAATTTTCTTTTTGAGTTCTATGAAAGATGTAATTATGAATATGCATATATATATATATAGGAAACATTGGAATCTCACATCCTTTTATTGACTAATAGATAGAGCGAGACAGAGAGTCATTAAATAATAGAAATAAACTAATTAGAACAGAAGAAAAATCTTTATTACATTCATATTTGTTTTCAATAGAACTTTATATATTATTAGATATTATAGCAACTTCATGAGAGAATATTCAATTATTTAGGAAATTGCTTTTTTTTCTAAGTTCAAACGAACTTGCAATTTGCTTCATAGATCGAGAAAAAGAATAAAAAAAGTTCATAGTTCTACATGTATTTTTAAATTAAAAACAAAAAAATATTAGAAGTTGAAACTATTTCATTAGTTTTCTTATCAATTTTTTTTTCTATATGTACGTTAAATGTATGTTAAAGAACAGTCTCGACAAAAGAAACTTCTTCAGACTACACAACTGAAATTTCTCTATTGCTTTTCTTTTTGTTTTTCATAGTTTTATCTGCAAAATCACATGCTCATTAGAAGTTATTTTTTTAACATATTATGTTGTTCTTCTAGAATCGATTGTTATAATCTGCTCTTTTTTTTACATAGAGAAATCTATTCTTAGCTCTCATTTGGGGCTTAGCAAGGTTCATTTCCGGGTCTACAATTTTCAACAATAATTATTTAACTTATGGATAGGCGATATTTATTCCTTATATTGAGAATCTCTTAAGACTATATCATTATTTAAAGCTATTGAACTTGGGGTTGTTTCAAATTAAAGTCAACATCAGTGAACAACTTTTCGACACACAAAAATTACAATTTTGATCCTTTTTTTCATTTATTTCCTATTTTGTCATTTTTTATATGACTTGCGCTTGCAAAATTAGGCCAACAAGTCAGTCCAAAATTCAAATATAAAAATATATGATCCTATAAAAATTTACTCATACTTGAAGTTTCTAGATTTCTTTTGTTGTTTGAATCAAAAATATCTTGTTTTGAGTGAAACATCTTATTCAAACGTAATACTGTTACTTTTCTTGACACATTTTTTATCAATTATCTTCGAAACTGTGACAGCTAGAAAGTTTGTTTAAATACCATTCGACGTATCCTCATCATGTTTTACTCATGATATAAATATGACGTGAGTGTGAGTGTGGACTGCTTCCTTCCATACACGTCCACATCCACCCTCAACTTTGGGAGATATTCAACTATGTTTGAAAGAGTATGTCAGGATGCAGTGCGTGACAGATCTCTTTTTTTTTAACAATTCTTACATTCTCAAAAAATGGCGTTCTTATTATATAACTACTATTTTATTCGATAATAACGAAGATCAATTTAAGAAAGAACTCTGTCATGTTCTGTATCTTGACATATTCTTTGAAATCAAAGAAAAAGTCATAGGCTACAATGAAGCTCTCTTGAACATGCTAGGATGCCCAATCAAAAAAACATAAACTAAGAAAAAGCGAAAACGATTTTCAATTTATCTCAGAAACCATATTTTTTCAAGCAGAAAAGGATAGACAGTTTTTGAAACAAAAGCAAAGTACCACATAAAATGTCATATCGTTTTTACAAGATTTGACTTCGTACTATCTTTCTATGCATTTATCTCAATTTTCATGTTTTTCACGAAAATCGACTTTTCTTTTAGGGAAAGCGGCTAAAGCAAAATGTGAAGATATAATGATAAAAATGATTCTACTACTTTTAAATGTGTTTCTTTTTGTATTTTTCCAATATATAGAAAGTTGGGTAGACAACATAAAAAAACATATATTTTTGTAACATGTGAATTATCATTCAGTATTGACTATGCTAAGTTGATATCATTATTAAGAAAGGGTGTCATTCGAAAATAAACGGTGATTCATTTTTATTCTTATGTTCTTATGGAGTATTATGTTAAAATAGATCTAGACATGTTTAAGATGTAAAATTTGATCACATTTAAAAAAAATGTTACTAATAATGTACCCTCTTAACAAAGGTATCAGTTGAGTACAATACATGCTCAATAAAAATTTAGATATTAGATTTAAAAATATATCTTTTCAATCTGTTCGACTTTGTATATTTGAAATATACAAAAATTAAATCAAAATAAGCTCGAACCTTATGAAAAGTATAATTGGAACTTATGTATGATATCTTACTGTAACTATTCGCTTTTTCATCATTTTTGCTGACGTGAATAGAAAAGCATAAAAACATTCAATCGCTTTACATGTATGTCCAATTTCAATGAAAGTACTAAAAATTTTAAAACAAACTTGTATTCAACTACTTGCCTTCGGTAGCCAATCTATCATCTACATTAATTTTCAACTAACTATAAGAAAAACAATGCAGTCAATGCCTAAAAAAAATGTCAACTAATCCATAAATAGAAATGAAAATGCGACAAAAAAGAATCGTTTACTACGTAATATGAGTGAAAGAGATAAATATTCAAAGAAATGAGAAAATCAATAGAAAATAATATGGAAATGCACAAAATCAAACCGAAGAGAAAAAAATAAGCAATTGGGTCATTAAAAAATAACCTTTTTTCAAATTTGAAATAGTCGATATGCTGAAATACTCTAAAGCAACGAAGACTGATGAAAACTGAATGCACAAAGTCACCTAAAATCGAGCAAGAAAAGAAAGCTCATAAACACGTGTTTTATTTCAATTTCAGTGTCTTTACTATTTAAATTTAAATTTAAATTTGCTTCTCTGGTAGAGAAATGTTACCTTGAGTATATCCTAAAACTGTCTTAGACTCATTACCAAGAAAAGGTTGGCAAATCATATGCTTGATGAGAAATATCGATTAATCGAATGGGAAGAATGAAATAAAAGAAAATATTCACAGCTTGGATACATAACCTATCTATTCGTCTATTTATGAGTGAAATCAGCGAATGCATCAAGATACAAATATTTCTTCATCATCACTATATTATTCGATTTTTAGAAATATATGTTCAAAATCCTCATACGAGAATCTGGTTTAGAGTTCTCATTATATAAAAGTAGAAGCATAATGAAGAATAAAACCGGCACCTGATGAATCCTGAACTGCAAAATTCTAACAAGATTTCGTGAGAATACCAGAAATCGGATGTATACTTGGAAAAAAAGAATTCTTTTTCAAATTTTCCAAGATGCAATCAGTAGATTTTCAAGAACAAGCATTTCTCATTCTCAGAAGACAAAACACTGATCTTTCATGGGATATTGACACGATAATATCAGAATTCAGCAAAGATTAGATCGAATCTTATGTAGCACAGAAGACTGTAACATAAATTCAAAAGGTTTTAACAAGGCCTTCTCATCATCTTCATAGCAGAACCCCATTGAAATTCACAGCCAAACCAAGCTAAAATCTTAGCAAGAAAGTAATATGCTCCGACAGAATGCCAAGTTTATAAGTCTTGGTATGATATCATGAGGATACCAGGAATCCGATTCATGCCTACTCTTAGAACCTTTACGGTAACATTTCACGAACTTTTTTGACGGCTTTCAAGAATAAGCGTTTCGAATCCGTGCAAAAGCTATGATGATTCTAATAAGGATTGTGAGTATAGAACTTAGGGATTCATTTAGAATCTTTGCCGATAATTTTCTCGAGACCCACTCAGATAAACAAGAAAAATAAACTCATAAAAACACGTCGGAATCATAACGAAAAAAAATCATAAAAATGTTTTCAAACGAATACATATACGTATCAGTTCAAGATTTTTGACGTATTGTTATGCGCTCGGTTTTCGAATTGAGAGTATGGCTATAGAGAACAATCGTATTTCATAGATATGGTTCGCTTAAAGTATAATTCAGGTGAATTAAGTTGGTGTGTAGATATGGCTGTGGCAGTGGGTATGTATCTTCTAGTCAAGGACATCCACATCTCATACCCACACTCACACCCATGCCCCACATCCTCGGAGAGATAGAAAGTGTAACGTTAAGCTATTATCAGGTTTTTGGAGAAGATCTGCTGCAAAACATTGTCTAGAAATGCTAGAAGAGTTTCTATGAACTCTAGACGATGATCTTAGCTGTAAAATAAAGAACAGTGTCCAAATTCGCCACTGCAGAATGCTCAGATTTGATTTTCTTAGAAGAATCTCAGAACGAAGGATTTTCAAGTCCTTGTAAATAAATATCGGACCTATTCCGTATTTATTTGAGCACCATAAGGAATGACTGTGTGGATGGATGGGTATGACTGTTCCTATTCTTCACTCGTACCTATCCACACCCAAGAATTTTAAATTTGATATTCGTTTCTATGGAAAGAAAATTCAATTAATAAGCCATTGGTTACAATATGTAACAAGATTGACATATGCCAAGTTTTAATCAGATGTGTGAAAGGTCTTCAGGAAATCTTCATACTAGAGCATTCTAACACGTTTATCAATTAAGACTAATGCGAACTTAACATCATTATATAAGACTCAACGTCGTCGTATGCAGTGTCGTGGACGTACTTCCTTTTTTTTAATTAAGTACCATCACGACCAGAATGACAACGAGTCTTTTTATCTGTCTTTGTTCACTTCGGAATAAGTATTCAATGTTATTACCATTTTGTAAGAAAATGACTTACTAATTTGATTTTGATCTGTAAGAACAATGTTTTGGTTTGTGATAGAAGCTTTTTTAAACCTTTTTTTAATCACGGATATCAGAAAAAAATACTACTATTAGGTTAAGTTTTTGGCCTTACTAAAGAAACTGTTATCTATTCTCAACTAAGAAAAATACATATGAAACGTTCCATAGACAATTTTCGGCTGCCATCGAAGAGAAGAAGAAGAAGAAGAAGCAGTGAAAACAAACTATATGCATGCATAAAGAGGAAGTTATTTGAAAACTAATAGTTGTCAATTTAAATGCTCAAAAACGTATTTTTTATTTACAAAAAAAAGATGTTACGTATACAGATATTCGAAATTTTGTAATAATAAACTTTTCAACTAACTGAGCAGTTCTAAAAATTTGCTCTATTCACATTAATAGGGTACCATTGATAAAGATCATTTTGATTTCTTCTTTTTATTGTCTTAGATAAGAACTTAATATTATCTATGAAGCGCTTCACATATAGTTTTTCTTACTTAATAACAAGTGAAATTGTTTTCATGATACCAACAATAATACTTGATAGTAATATTTGTTTGTATTATCTTTATAAAAAAAATTTTGAACAAACTTCTATTGCTAATCAAAAAATCAGCCCATTTGAGTGAACCGACTGGAAGATATATTTCATTCTTTTTTCGTGTCGTAGTGCTATTTATAGACCATCCTGTATATATAATGTTTTCTTAACTGATCTTCTAGAGTAAATACACATTTCTATCTTTGAACGCGATAGAAATTCGTAAAATTCGCCGTAAAAATAGGTAAAAACATCGTTTTAACCAAAATGTTAATGTGTTTTTTTAGGAATCCTGTCCGATTGG